TAGTTAAAAATCTGTACTGGTTCCATCAGAACTAATCGATTCAAAAATCTGAACAAGGACTGTCCTGGACTGTTATCCCAGAACCAGACCAGGGGTATAAAGCGTGCGTACACACAAAAACTGTGCGGCGCCATGTTTTATGCACAAGTCAGCATGTATAAAAATGAATGTGAAGTGAAAGTTTGCAGCAGCCACACAAACTTTTTCTGTGGACAGTAACAAACTATAAAGCACCAAAATTCACCTAAATACACTGAAATCTGGGCTCGAAAAACGGCTCGAAATGTCTTGAAATTCCAAGCTCCCGACTTGAGACTTGACTCAACTTTTGCCTGGTCTTTATTTGAGATTTCACTCGGACTTGAGGACAAAGACTTACTTGAGACTTGCAAAACAGTGACTTGGTCCCACCTCTGGCATTTAACATATTTATTTTAGAAATATGTGAATGTTTGTGAGTGCAATTTAAAAATGTGGCTGTGGTGTAAAGTGGTTTGAATGGTCAAATTGCTTTCGAAGTTCAATCCATTTATTCTTGAGATTCACACAGCTGAAGTTTAATTTCTAACTAGGTAACTTCTAATGGCGGTTGGGTGCACTGGACTCTCTCGCTGAGGTTTTCAGAGCAAATGGAAGAAAATACAAATGCTTGTCTTTCTAAAAACGTTAAACACCATGTATAACTTTCTTCCCATTTTATAGCAGACAGCCACTTGTACTGTACTGCTGGAAGTTTCTTTCTCATAAATGGGAATTTTCCTCTCTACTGTTGCGAAAATGCATGCCCTGAATGAAAGATTGCTGTAAAGTAAATGACAACGCAAGTGATAGCCTATTGATAATAAGATAATTTATTTGTCTCCCATGGGAGAAATTTGTCTTAGAAGAGGAGACAAAGCTGCAGTACAGCAAAGACTGAACATTGCTGTTGCAACATGCTGGTCCAGGAGGAGTGAATCCTGTCAATGCAATCTGACGGGTTTCCTTAGAAACTTTTTAGATACTTTGTGTAATAAAGTGAGCTTAATGATTATTTCCTAACTAGGATCAATTGAAATGTATGTGATTTATTTTGTGAAGTGTCTCAAGGTAACATTTGCTGTGAATAGCTGCTATATAAACTGAACTGAACTGATTTGAAAGCCATTGCATGACTGAAATGAGTCTGAATTGATCCAGATCAAAGTTAAAACAGAAGCAGAGTTTAGCCAACACATATCAGTGGATATTTGACTATCAGTCTGATCAGTGAATGGTTTTCCTTCAGATGTCTCCAGTGGTGATTGTCCTGGTGTCTGATGGGAAACGTTGTTTGTTGGGCCGTCAGTCGTCCTTCCCTCGTGGGTTGTATAGTGCTCTTGCTGGCTTCTGTGACATAGGTGAGTCTCACCAGTTGTTGATACACCTAGTAATGTCCTAAAGCAGGGGTTCTCAAATCCAGGCGTCAAGGGCTGGTGTCCTGCAATTTATAAATCTACCCCAGGTTCAACACACTTTAATCACATAGCTGAATTACCTCCTTAGTGCAGTCAGGTTCTCCAAAGTCCTACTAGTGACCTGATTGTTTGACTCAGGTGTTGTGAAACAGAGACATATCTAAAACCTGCAGGACATGATCCCAGTCCTAAAGTAAACCTGGTAGGTAATATGTGAGTGTGTGTTGCTTCTAGGAGAGACTCTGGAAGAGGCTCTGCGCAGGGAGGTAGCAGAAGAGGTGGGTCTGGAGGTACAGAACATCATCTACAGTTCATCGCAGCACTGGCCATTCCCTAACAGCTCTTTCATGCTGGCCTGCCATGCCACTGTTAGCCCCGCCCACTCTCAGGTGACTAGGCCTTTTAAAAGTTAACACTTGCAAACAGAGTTTCTGATAAACTTTAGGTTAACTCAAATCAGTCAGGATAAAATAGTTAGAATCCGTTTGTATTGGAGCTCTGCTTTAAATGAGCAGATAGAAGGTAAAAAAAAAAAAAAAAGAAAAAGCACTGACCGCTGGGAACTAGCTGCAGGTAAAATGTGTAGTTAAATGTAAGTCACATATCATGTGACTTGTTTTTGTTCCAGCTGAATGTGGACCACTTGGAGCTGGAGGATGCTCGCTGGTTTACTGAGGAAGAAATCACATGCGCTCTGCAGGTAAAAGCTCCACCTTGGAGAGATCATCGACCTGCTGTCTGGCTGCCTCCCAAACATGCTGTTGCTCACCGCCTTATCATGGAGTGGAAGGAGCAGCAACACAGCAAGGACACAGAATGATGTTTCAATGTGTTGAGGAACAATACAAGAACTCATGAAATAAAGTCCTACTGTATTATCCCTACCTATGTCATCTAGACTCATTCTGAGAGTAAATCATCCTGGTTTACTCATGAACTGGGCCAGAGCTGTCCAAAAACTAGCTAGCATGTTGATAAAGTTCTCCCAATATGATTATATTACTTATTCATTGTCTTACACTCTTCTCCCTAGTGGGGTCGTGAGGGGTGCTGGTGCATATCTACAGCGGTCACTGGGCAAACGGTGGGGTCACCCAGGACACCACTCCATCACTAGGCAACACAGCAACAGACAATCATGTACATACACACCTAAGGAGAGTTTAGAGAGACCAATCAACCTAACAGTCATGTTTTTGGACTGTGGTAGGAAGCCAGAGTGCCTAGAGAGAACCCACGCATACACAGGGAGAACGTGCTAACTCCACGCAGAAAGACCCGGGCTGGCTGGGATTTGAACTCAGTTCCTTCTTACTCCCAGGCAACAGTGCTACCAACTGCACCATTGCAGCCCTGTTACTTATTATATTACTTATTTGATTGCTGAACTTATAAACAGAGTGTGACACAGATTCAACAAGAGCTAGCTGTCGAATTTGTAGCACGGAAATATTCACACAGTAAAAACGGATCCTTTTAGTCTCATTTCAACCTTAACAATCAAAACAGAAGAGTCAAAAACTTATTTTTCCTCAGCCAACCGCCATAATTGGAACAACATCCAGGCTATCTTAGAAACAGATGAGATGAACTGACTATAGAGACATTTTTGTGTGTGTCCCTGCTGCTGTATTCCTCTGGATTAAGTTTTTTCTCTGATGGCAAACATCAGCTTCTCTGTGTTTGTGTGTCTGCAGTTCTCAGAAACATAAAGTAGGACATTCTACCTTTCAAACTTCTGTGCAGCTTACTTGGAGCCCTTGTACAAAGGCAGGCCCCTGAAGGGATTCAGGCTGTTTTCCTAAAGAGACAAACCTCACAACAAATGTCATCTTGTGGCACTTTCCAGAAAAAGTCATTTTAATTCAATCACACACTAGCAAATATCGGGTTAATACGGCAACTTCACAGCTGCAGCTGCAGAGAGTGTAATTAATCCGGGGGGGCACTCGTTTAATAGACGGTAAATTGCGAAAATAACTTGCTGGATATTGAAAGTTCCGGTTGTTATGGATACATGGGTAAGTATATCATCTCACAGGACATTTAAAGAACTACTTACAATTAAAATAAGGAAGATTTATTTAGTCAGACGTTTGAAACGTAGGTGTAAAGAGATCCGTCTGGGGGCATTGGACCAAACGGCCCGCCTCAACTAAACTGTAGATACAAAGATGTCTGCCAATCAGAATTCTAGCTCCCGTGTTCTTGACCAATGACTGTAAAACGTTTTGTAGAAAAGAAGTTCATGCGTTCGGTTAAATCAAATGCGATATGAAAGAAGATTGAGTTTGTCTCACCCGGTAAAGAAACACATTTACTTGAGAAAGGAATTAAAAACAGGTGGCGCTGGGCAAAGGAAAGGGGACAAGAAGGGAAGCTGGTGGAAATTTTTACAAAAGGGAGGTGCTGGGATTTCTTTGGGGGCGTTTGGTGGAAGGTAAACTTTACACCTACAATCACAACAATACCAGTTTAGACTTTGAGCAACTTCCTAAAACTGTATTGTGTAACATTAAAACATGCTGCAACTGTATCGATCATAGACATAATATAAGGATAGACG